CAGGTAGGTCAGCCAGGCAGGTCAAATGAGTCATTCTGGACGGAGGAGGAAGCTCCAAGCAGGCAGGTGCCATGCGGGGCTTCAAACTCAGAGCCTGCTGAACTGCCCAACCCACTCTCTTTCCTTGTCTACCACCTGGCCTCCTCGGAACATTCTGGAATTCTCTGGTCTTTGCTCCCCGGGAACCTCCCGAGAGCCCCCACAAGATTTATCTGGCGGGGTTCACGGCGTGCATTTTGTAGATGGGGCCAGATGAGTTTCCAGGTTCCCTGTGACTTTTCTGTGGGGCCCCTCTGTGTCCAGTCAATGGCCCGATTGGGACAGTGTCACGACCCCAGTGCCATGGGGAAAGTCTCCCGGAGATGGGAGCTCATCCATCCATCCTGTGAGGGAGTGCAGAGCCTGCCGCTCCCTGGCCCTGGCTGGGAGGCTGGGGTGCACCACCTGGACCTCCCCCTGTCCCGCTCTGCAAGGGTGGCTGTCCTCCATCCTGCTTTATCAAGGGGACATCTGAGGCCAGAGGGGGCGGGGGCGGGCTTGCTTGCCTGAAGCCACACAGCTGGTTAGTGGCAGTGCAGGGATTTGAATGCGGTCCGTATGAGTCCGAGGCCCCACCTTCTCCAGCTGCTCTCCGCTGGCCCGTGTCCCCGTGGGCTCAGGGGACGGCAGGGCTGAGGGGCATCTGGGCGGCAGCTGTGTGCCTTTCGCTTCCTGTCTGGGTCTCTGTTGTGGGCCCCTTTGCTAAACGAGGGCCGCAAGTCTGCGAAGGACTCGGCTCCCTTTCTGTCTGTCGTCTGTCGGGGACTCTCTCTGCTGGCTTCTTCCTCGGCCTCTCTTTCTCCCTGTCCGTGTGTGTAGCAGGGCCCACGGGTGGGGGAGCCCATCAGGGAAACAGGAAGCTCCTTCCTTTGTGTTCGGCCTGGCCCTTGCCCTCCCCACGGCCTGCTCCCAAGGTCCAGATGGGCAGCCGCGGATGTCTCTCCTCTGGCTCTCTCCAAACTCTCCCCCAGAGGGCATCCCATTTTGTGGCCGGGGAAACTGAGCTCCAGACAGAGCAAGTGACCCTCCCGAAGCCACGGAGGAGAGGGGCTCCGTCTGTCTCGTGTGTGGCGTAGCCCCAGGGCCTAGGACTCTGCCTGGCACGTCACCCACCTTAGGGCTCCGCCCTCTGTATCTTCCCTGCACAGATTTGCCAGTGAAGGCTCACTCAGAGAGGTGAAGTGGCCAGGCCAGGCTCCCACAGACCTTAAGCGTTAGCCTAGGATTTGAACCAAGGACGCTCTGCCCCCCAAAGTTGCTATTTCTGGTTGCCCCAGATCATAGCCTCGGCCACTCTTCCTCCACACATGTGCCTCCCCAGCCTTATCCTCACCTCCTGGCCCAGACGGCCTCTGCAGGTTCTGAGGTCTTTGCTGTCAGAGTTTCCGGTTGCTCCCACCTACCAGTCCCCCACCCTTCCGGGCAGAGAGACCGGGCAGATGGCTGTGAGAGACACATTAGGGGTTTCAATTGCTGCATCCCCAGCTCCGAGGACTCAGGAACCTCGAAACCACCACCACCGCAGATACTCCAGCCACGGGCTGGCAGCCAGCCCCCGGACAGAATTAGCTCGGTGTTGGGAGAGAGTTTCCTCCCTGGTCCCACGCCCACACTTGGAAGCTCACACTGAGTCACTGCAGTGAAGCTAGAAAGTGCTGGCCGCCTAACAGCCTGTCCCATTTTCTTGTGGTTTGGATGGGGCCATGTTTGAGCTTAGGGCTCCGTAGGCGTGGGCAAGAGCCGGGAGCCTATAACCCTGGACCCGGACAACCCACTTGCTCAGAGACCAGAGGCCCCAGGAAACCTCCAACAGCAGACGAGTGCACAGAAGCAGGAGACCCCCCCCCCCCAATATCCATTCTACTGCCTGGTCTCCCCTCCCCCGCATTAGAACACCACTCCTTCCTCCCGGGTGTGCTCTCTGTTCCCAGATCCACTCCCCGCAGCTCTGTGTCCTACAGGCGGACCCACAGGATTGACATCACAAGGCTCTTTGAGAGCCCGACCGGGGGGACAGGGCAGGACGAGAGGGAGGTCAGGCTCCCTCCCGGCAGAGTCTCCTGAGTCGGTCACAGCCATGCCACCTGGATCGAAGTACAGACCCCTCCTCTGGCCCCCAGCCTGGGGCACCAAGGTCTCCATGCAGGGCTGGCCCTGGGCTGCTGGAGAGAGAGAGAGACAGAGAGAGAGAGTACATCCCCTATACTGTCCACCCCTTTCTGAGCCCTCCGAGCCTAGGCTGTCCTGTCTCCCTGTTTGAGCCGGTCATCGGTTTCTGGCCACGACCCTAACCACACTCCCTACCCTCTACGCCCACATCTGTCAGATCCTGCCCGTTTCGTCCATCAACAGCTCCCAGACCTGCCCGCCACTTCTGCCCACCCGGAGGGTGGTGACAGGCCCCCAACCAGCCGCTCGTTTCCATTCGGATTTCATTTCCCACCTGGTAGCCGGAGAGATCTCTTCAAAGCGCAAACCACATTGCAACGCTCTCTGCTTACGAGCCCTCCTTAGAAGCAGCACCAGCTCCTTACCGAAGTCCGCAAGGCCCCTGCCTCCGCTACGACGGAGCCCAGGATGGATCCCGGCCCCAAAGGAGACCCTGCCTTGGCCGCAGGCTCCAGGGCCCAGGTAGAGTGTGGACACTTCCTTGCAAACCCGGCCCCCCTATCTGATGGCAGACCCAGCAGTCATTCCCAGCCACCTAGACCCCTAGCAAGAGAGTTTGGGCGGACGTCTCTCCTTCCAGGCTGAGAAGCCACTCTGGTTCCAACAGTGGGTCTGACGCACAAACACTGCGTGTCTTTGCAACTACTCAGCTTGTATCCAAAGCCGCCAGGCAGATAGCTTGCGCCTCTTCCCATAAACACGGCCCCAGCCCCTGGAGGTGACCTGTAAACAAATTCCCCCATGCTTATATCCCCCCTAGACTACGAGGCCCAGCACCCGACTCGCCTAATCCCCTAAAACCAGCCTTGTGTCCGCTCACGCAAGCAATCCCCGAGCTTATCCGGAAGGCACTGGGCGCGATGACATGAGCTGCTCAGGATGTGGTCTGAGCCGGCTGCCAACGGGGTCGCCGTCCCCCCCGGCCAGGTGCCGCCCAGGGCATGTGCTCAGGGTCCTGCTCACAGCAGGGGCTCGGAGCCTAGACTCCGAGGCTCTCAGGGTTAAATGTTATTAAATATCATCATCCAAATAACGGTATTTTACTGAGCACGATGTGCGTCAGGACGCTGAGAAGCTCTTCGTGTACGTCCTTCACACGAACCCCATGCGACGGTGGGGTCATTATTACAGCCAATTTAGAGTTGAAGAAGCAGAGGCCTGGGGGGGGTGGAGTCTCACCCAAGGTCACATGGCCACTGAGAGGCAGAGGTCTTTATACTATACAGGGTCTACTTGACAAACGCCCTTAGGTAAATCCCTGACCTTCTGGGGGCCTGGGTTTCCCCGTCTATAAAACAAGGAGGTTGGAGTTGACGGTGTCGAAGGCTCCCTTCCAGCTTTAAAAAATGCCACGGTTGAGGGGCACCTGGGTGGCTCAGTCGGTGGAGCGTCCGACTTCGGCTCGGGTTGTGATCTCGCGTTTTGTGAGTTCGATCCCCGCGTCGGGCTCTGTGCTGACGGCTCAGAGCCTGGAGCCTGCTTCCACTTCTGTGTCTCCCTCTCTCTCTGCCCCTAACCCACTCGCATTCTGTCTCTCTCTCAAAAATAAATAAGCATTAAGAAAGATTTTTTTTTTTAAATGCCACGGTTGAATGGGCCAAGCGTCCGTCGATTGCTAGCCTCGTGGCACTAAAAAAGACAGTATGGCCCAGCTCCACGCTGTGTGACCCTGAGCAAATTGCTTTACCTCTCTGAGATGTTGTTGAGTTGCCTATGGAATGGCGATAATAAAATCCTCCTTTGAGAAAATCACGGAATCTGGATAAAGTGCTTTCTTGGGACCCCTTGCAGTTCTAAGATTTCTGGCCCAGTGGCTGAAGGCTGATTTATAAACCTCCCCTTCCTCACCCGGTCAGCAGGTCTGGGGTCCTTACTAACTATGACAAGGTTGTCTCGGGCTCATTCCCCTGCTCCAAGCTGCCCAGTGGCTAAGCCACCAGGTTCAAATGCCCTTCTTAGCTAAGCAACCATGAACAAACTCTCTCCTTTCCCAGACTCAGTGTTCCCCTCTGTAAAATGGGGCTGATATTATGACCTCCCTCCTAGAGTTACCATGAGCCTCTCAAGAAGCAATGATGTGGGTCCACAGAGTGCCCCACGCACAGCGGGTGCTCAGCAAACGTTTGTAGAGAAAAATCGGATGGAGATTTACTTGGGAGAACCAGCAGCAGCCCCGTCCCCCGCTGAGGAGAAAGCTGGGCTGAATGCACTTAGCAGATTCTGAACCAAAGCAGAGGGCCGGGCTTCCAGAAACCGACGGAACTCGAAGATGAGCCTGGAATGTGTCTGGAGGCAGCGGAGGGGATGGGAGCCAGGCCGCAGCCAGTGGTTCCTCTGAGCCTCCCCCTCCCAGACCAGACGCCGCCCTGGCCGGATGACGAAGTGTGGCCACTGACATCCCTGCCCTCAGCTCGGCCCCCTCTCCCTCCCCACATCCTCTGCGAGGGCCTCCGCGAAGCATTTTTCAACGTGGTTGAAACCCTCGGCTGAAACCGAGCTCTTGTGCCCGCTCTGTCCTCACAGAGGATCCCGGCGTAACCAGGAGCTGGCCTAGCAAAAGAGGCAGCCCCTCGTGGGGTCTCCCCCGATGCCAATTCCCCCTTATTCCCATTTGGCAGAGAAAACTCAAATTCAAACAAGTTTCATGATCCTTCCCCAGGTTGGCCCCCCCCCCCACCCCCGGGGGAGCAACGGGTAGAATGCGGCTTCTCTTCTGGTTCTTCCTGGAATCAGGTTCGGGAACCCCATCTCCAGCACTTGCAGGCTGTGTGACCTGGGATGGGTTACCTCACCTCCCTGGGCCTCGGGCTTCTCCTCCCTAGCGTCTACATCCAGGGGCCGCGACCATTCGGTGGAACCCTCGGCGGAGTGCCTGTCGCAATCACGATTACTGGGGAATGTCATAGGAAAGGACCTGGGAAGTGCGTCCCCACGGCTCCCTCAGCAGAGCTACTGTTGGAGGGTCCAAGGAGAAGCTGGCAGGGCACCGGCCTTCTCTGGAACCTCTCGGATTAGGGTCAGAAGTCGGGGCACGTTGGATACATCAGAGGCACCGGCAGGCTGCAGCCTCGGGTCCCAGGCCCCTTTCCAGCCTTCTGACGTCCTCCGTCGCGCTGAGGCTCTGGAACATCTGGCCAAGGACAGCCCTGCCCCGGCCCCGTTCACCCCAGGACACCTTGTTTCCGAGACTTCCTGCCTCTGGCCTGGAACGTTCTCCTCCGTGGCCCCGTCACGGGAGGAAGTGTGCTCAGCTGGGCCTGGGGCTCCAGGAGTGTGGTTTGGCACCTTCGCCTGGGAGAGGTCAGAGAACAGAGGCCCTATTGGAGGACGAGGGAGGGTGGGCCGGGGCCTCGCCCAGACAAGCTGACTCAAACCCTCCGGGAGGCTGAGAAACTTCCGGCAAGATGGCCTTGATATCGGGCTCATGGAAAGCTCCAGAGGCCAGGGATTCTTCCCTCCACGTCTCTGATCCTTGGGTCTCCTTTTCTCTATCCTTCCAAGAAATATTTATCAAACATCCATTAGGCTCCAGGCCTGGGTCTCGGTCCTGGGGATATAGCAGGGAACAGAGACACGGCACTTGCCTCAAGAGGCTGGCATCCTCGGAAGAGGAATGGGAGCAAACAGGTAAACAAGTAGGTGCCAAAGAAGGCAAATGCCTCTGGAGCCAGACTGCCTGGGTTTGGGTCCCTGCTCTGCCACCCACCCGCTGTGTGACCTTGGGGGAGTCATTACACCTCTCTGTGCTTCAGTGTCCCCAGCCGAGAAACAGCCCTGGTGAGTAGCACCTCCCTCACGGGGCGACTCTAAGGATTAAATGAGTTTACACTGGTAACGTTTTAGAAGCATGCCTGGTGCATTGGAAGCATCGTGTAAGTGCTGGAAAAAAATCAAATGATTACAGTGGCAGACGGTAGTAGGTGCTACAGAGAAAATATAAAGAGGAACAGGGCATGGGGGGCGGGGGAAGAGCATTATTTTAGGTGGAGTGCCCAGAGGAGGCGTCTCTGAGAAGGTGACCTCTGAGCAGAAACCAGAACATAGGAAGAGGGAGACGTGTGACTATCTGATTAAAGGCAGGAGGAACAGCAAGTGCAAAGGCCCTGAGGTAGGAGCACATTCGATGGGTTCAGGAAACAGCACAGACCTGTGCATTCAAGCATCTATTCAGATGGCTGCTAGTGGGCCACACTCCCCGCTAGAAGCTGTGGGCGTCAGATGGCCCAGTCTCTGCCGTCACGTAGGGGAGGTGGGTGCAGGGGCATGGTAGATGCTCTGAGATGTCACCGAAAGTCCAGGCTTGCAGCAATCTGGTCATACTGCATCACAGACAGGATGGGCTTCTCCGCAGTCTCCACCCCTCCCTTTTATAGTCTCTTGATCCCCACACTAGTCATTCTGTCTCCCTCCCGGCCCCGTTGGCCGCTGAGACTGTGACCCTGGTTCTGTACAAAGCAAAGGGAAGTTGGTTGGGGAAATCAGGGGAAACTTCTTGGTGGAGGTGGCATTGGGGCCGAGCCTCGGAGAGTGCAAAGCCTTTGCTATGGGGCGCCAGGGAGGCAGGAGGCATCCCCGAAGACAGATCCGTGCGTGAAGGCACAGAGGCTTCATCGGGCATGGTAAGTACGTGTGTGGAGAGTGGGATGGCAGGAGACCGGGCTGGGAGAAAGACCCTCGCAAGGCACTGACTTTATCGTGGAGGCAATAGGGAGCCACGGATGGCCTTTGAGCAGAGCGATGTCCATCATTCTGAAATGAGCCCAGCCCTAACCCACACCGCTGATATGGGGGCCATGCTGGAAGAGGGAAGACTGGAGACAGGAGGCCAGCAAGGGGCCCCGCGAGCTGAGCGAGGACCCTTCGGCCAGCTCTGGGTCCACCCAGAAGGGGCAGTCCTCGGAGGTTCCGGGAGTCGGGGCCCCCTCAGGGCGCCAAGGAGTCTGGCAATCCCCCCATTTTCTTGAGGAATATTTCCTCAGCCCACGTGGGCAGTGTTGCCTCAAGAGCTGTTTCCATGGTAACTGCCAAAGCTCTAAGGTCTTAGATGAACAGACGAGTGGGGACCACAGACACCCAGAGGAGGCTGCACGGGGGAAGCCAGGTCACGGAGAAAGGCCCACGCTGGCCAGTCTTAGGGGTCGAGACTCATCTTCTGCCCCCAGAGGCCCTGAAGCCCCAGATGAAAATTGGTTGCCATGACAATGCTGACTCCTCGTCTCTGGGTCTCACTGGCCTGGGGCCTTTCAACACGGGGGTGTGGGGAGAGTGGGGGAGAGAGCAAGGCAATGCCAACAGGCAGCCGGAACCAGCCGCTTCCAAAAGATGCGCATCCTGGGACAGGTGTGTGAAGCAGGTAAGTCTGAAGACGACCCTCCCCCCGCCAGGAGATAAGCACGGATGCAAATGAAGGAGCAGCCTCTGCGGGTCTGAACTTTGGATTCCAGAAGGGCATCCTCCGCGCCCCCAGAACCGGTGCCTGGTAAACCCTGCTGCCATGCCTTGAATTCCACCATTAAATCCACTTTCGACTCCCCTCCTCCAATGAACTGCAGTAAAGGAAGTAATGATGATAATGACCTGTTACGAACTGAAGGTCTGTGTCGTCCCCCCCGCCCGCCCCCGCCCAAGTTCATATGTGGAAAGCTCATCCCTAACGTGAGGGTGTTAGAAAGCGGGGCCTTTGCGAAGCAATTAGGTCACGAGGGTGGAGTCCCACGAACGGGGTGAGTGCCTTTATGAGAGACCCCACAGAGAGATCCCTGCCTCCACCATCTGAGGACACGGAGAGAAGATGTGAACCAGGAAGCAGGCCCTCTCCAGCCACCACATCTGCCGGCACCCTGATCTTGGACGTCTCGGCTTCCAGAACTGTGAGAAATCAATCGCCGTTTTGGTTATAGCAGCCAAGACGGGCCAAAACCATGACTAACACTTATTGGAAGTTTACAGTGCACCAGGCACTGTTCTAAATACTTTAGCTAATTTGCTAATATAGCATGATCTAGCTAATTAATCTAGACAGGAGCAACATTGGGTATTATTGATCCCATTTGAATATGGGTATTGTTAAGGTGAAGAAGTTGAAGCACAGAGAGGTCAAGCAATCTGCCTAAGGCCACACAGTGAGGAAGTGGCAGAACCAGGATTTGGGTGTAGGCATCCAGTCTGTTCCTCCTCGCTTACCTCTCTGGAGTTTCTTTCCAAAGCCCACGCTTGCTTCTGGCGTCACAAAGCATGCAGAGCTTAGCCCAGTGCGGGGCACCGAGCAGGGGCCTGGCGATGTCCCTTCCCTTCTCCTTCCAGGCGTATGGTCCCAGAAAGGAATCCAAATATAAGTCAAAATTGTGCACCCACCCCCACAACAGCAGAAATGCTGGCCTTCTCTCCAGAAGCACCCCTTCCTGGTAGCCGTGAGCAAACCCCAAGCTTTTGGTTAGCAGCCCCTGGAATCCAAAGACACCTTCTGCCCTTCCACGTGCTCCCAGACAGGGCCCATTCGTGCATCCATTTGGGGAGGGGCCTGTCCATTGCTTCTTTGTCAGAAGCCACTCCACCCGTCTCGTCAGGCTGCAGGGCTTGGAAGGAGATGACCCCACCCCCTGCTCTGAGCCTGGCCAATGAGAATATCCCACTCTGTGGGCCACCAATGACTGCTTCAGGAATGGGGCACAGGGCTCAGAGTGGGCCAATGAGAGTCTTCCCTGGGACTCTTGCCACCACCTGGGCAGATTCTAACAGAGAACGAGACCAACACAGAAGAAGGAGGACCTCAAAGATGCGGAAACACCAACCACACCCAAACCCTTGCTACACACAGGGGTTCCCTCAACCAATGGATTTCCTTTACTGCTTTAGCCAGTTGGGTTGGGATTCTGTCACCGGTGACACGCCGGCCTCACACGCAGCTGTTCCAGCTCCGGGATCCCGCAGTTGAGGAGGGACCTCCCTGCGAGAGTGCACAGCCCCCTAAAGGGGCGGCAGCTTGAGAGAGAGACTGAGGGCCTCGCAGACTTGTTTGCCTGACCCTACAATGTCCCTTGCCCTTGAGGGGCTCCCTCAGGTGCCATAACCTCTCCAGGGAAATCAGGAATGCCAAGGGAATCCCCAAATCAGAGAACTTGCCTTCACTTTGCAAACAACGCCAGCCCCTGAGCCGGGTGTCTGAGGCTCGGAGGAACCGGACGCCATCCCACCTTGAGGGCAGGTGGAAAGAACAGTCACGGAAACAGACGCATAAATCGGAGCTGACATTTACTGAGGGCAGAGGCTTCGGTCTGTTTGTTCACGGCTGTATCCCCGACCCCTTCAACAGCGTATACGACACCACGGCGCACACGCCATAAAATTCGTGACGTCCATTCCAGGGCTTGTCATGTGTGTGGCGCTTACACATCAACCGACTCGGTCTCCACATCAGTCCTGAAGTTACAACTATTCTTGGCGCCATTTACGGATGAAGAAAGAGAAGCTCGGTGAGGTTAAGTAACCTGCCGCAGGCTGCCCGGCCAGGAAGCTGCAGAAGTGGGTTTGAATGGGGTGTTCGCCCCTTGTGGGGCTGTGGCAGGAGCAGGGGAAGGGGGGGGGGAAGCAGTCTCAGCGGAAGGGGATATCCTGGAGGGGTTGGGGGACAGCAGGAACGAAGGCGCGGAGGTGGGACACAGCGAGAGGGGGAAAGGCAGCACAAAACAGGAGACCCGGTGGAGAACAGCCACAAAGAGAGGAAAAGAGGGCCCCGGCGTGTAAGCAATAGTATCTGTTCCCCTTGGCCAGCCTGGGTGATGTCAGCAACCTAGGGGCACTGACCCAGGACAGGGCTGCAGGGCCCAGGGCTACTGGGGTGGGGGGGGGGGGGAAGGAGGGGGGACTTCAGAGCCCAAGTCCTTCCAAACCAATCTGCTCCCGCGTGCTCCAGGAGCCCAGTGCCCCCCTAGCATGGTGTTCGAGACCTCTAGGCTCTGACTCTGGCCGATCCCCTCCGCCTGGGGCGCCCCTGTCTTGTTCCCTCAGCTCCTCCCAGCCTCACTGAGCACTCGGTGAGGATCCAGGCTGCCCTGTCCCCAGCAGTGACAACGAAAAGAAAGGACACTCGTGCTGGGACGGCCAGGCGTCTGGCTGGGCTTGGCCTTCCTCTTCTCCCCGTAGCCGGACAAAGCCCCCAGAGGAGAGGGATTATTCTCCCCACGCAATAGATGTCGAAACTAGACTCTGGAAGGAACAGGGTCGGGATGAGCAG